AACAATACCGGGACCCTGGGTGACAAGACCGTTTGTTTGGGCAATTGGATTCAGGGCTGCACTGCCCGGTGGACCGGTTTGAGATGCACTCGGAGGCACAGGGGGTGGAGGTTGACCCGGTCCAGGATATAGGGAAAGGATAACGTGAGTCAAAATGCCTTCTTCGTCCACAATTTGTTGAACTAAATGCCCAGGTGGAACGCGCATTGGCATGGGGAGGGGTGGGCCACTATTGGAAACCATTCGGACTGTGGCCGGACCTAAAGAGGTACAGGAAGGAAGGGGCAATTAAATGCCATTGGATACAAGAGTTGAGTATTGAAAAAGTATTGAAAATCGGTTCTCGTAGCTCGGGTGAACTGAATTCTATTTCACCTGTTTGCTGAGCATGGCAATTTGTTTGACCAATATAGTGTTTTGGGGAAACTGAAAGAACAATCGGCAGTCAGGAGACATGATCCAACTAGCGTTGATTTCCCTCCACAACGATCAAAAAGGACATCTTCAATCAACTCAGTAAAAAGGCATTTCAAACTGGATCACGCGTACATGCATGCCAATGCAACTCAAGGATCAGATAACGCAACAAAAAGGTCACGTTGTGACCGGAGAACGGACCGAAACCGTAAACAAGACGGAAGGACAACTACTTCCTCTTCTACCCTCACCCTTTCGCACCAGTTTAACGACAAACCGGGTCGAACACAGTGGGAACACGGGACGAAAATAGTCGGTGGAGAAGAACACTATTATAAACGAACGGGTACAGGCAGAACACTGCCACTTCACAAGCACTGATGATGTCACCTCGGCTGGTGAGGAAACGTTTGCAAACAAATTTTCAAGCTCGGCGAACAGGCGAAATAGAGACCTTGTTCATTTGTTTTATTACGTCCCTAGTTAGAGCAATGTTGGATGCTGGACCAACCCAATCTTGTAGCAACATTTTACACTTTGAAGGTGCACAACACTTGCCGAATATCGATGCACTAGCACTTAAACTTTTCAGAAAAGCTTGTAACTTACTTGAGTGTTCACTTAGCAGTGTAATGCAGTCTGCATAGTCCAGGTCAGACAGTCCACCACCCGGAATCATTTCAGTGCCACTGTCCTCAAGAGGATTATAAAGCTATCAATAAAATCTTCGCCGACCAGAAATCGCCGTTTTGCCCGCGATCTTCAGAGATGCAAGATATTCGGCGAGGTTTCCGGTTACTTCCTAAATACTTTTCCAGTTGAACTGAAACACCGAGAATTGAGTCGTACTAGTCTACTTAGTCTTCTTCACATAGTTTTCGTCAACGTCGACCAAATATCATCGAAAACGGATTGCTTGATGATCTCTCAACATGTGATCCTCGAATGTTTGAGTAACGAGCGCTCTGACGCGGTACTTTCTATCTCCATCACACTAGGCCAGTTGGATTTAAATGCGAGCACTAGCTGTGAGTACAACAAAATTAACCAATTATAATAATGATCGTCGATATTTATAACCAAACAGCGATGGATTCAGAGTCCAAAAATAATTATCCACTTGTCAAACTATAGCGAGACACACAAAACACCGATATATTGGTAATTCAAATATCGGGCTAGAACCCGGTGTCAAGAGTATGATTCTGGAAACACTCATTCACACACTGACTGACTGACGGACTGACCGCAGCTGACTGACCGACTGATGGACTGACTGACTGACGCGCTCACTCATTACCATTGCGCTGATCCTCTGAGAACAGCATAGTTGGAATCTATAGCTCCATAATTTCCATGAGTTATTATAGTAATTTCATTACTATTATTATTATCAGCAGTTCATTCTTATAAGTGTTCAACGAAAACCGCAACAATCTATCACCCGATGATATATTCCGTCAATTCTTTCAACGTGACTTCAATCTTTGTTCTGTTGAACACATCGAGGCTGCCAAGTTCACTCAGTAGAGTGATGACCCCCGTACAGCACAGATTGTTCAATCTCTTGTTCCTTCACTCCCCCTCGGTATATCTGATTCATACGCTTTGCCATCATAATGACGCATCTGTGTGAGTATGTGTTTATGTGTATTTATCACCACACCCCTGAAAAATCGGTTCAGATAATGTTCCATGGGGCACTAGTGGATTATGCGCAATCGACGGGTGAGGAGACATTGTTTATGTCTACCACATGATAGCGTTATAGGATTAATGAGTAAACGGCACCAAACAGACACTAAAGGGATCAGGCACGATCGTTATGCGCGACATTTTCTCTTAGTTACACATGGTAGTGTGATGAACAGCAGACAGAGTAAGCATCACAGTCACTAGAATGTGCTGTTCAGTTAAAGAAACTAGCATCCTAAGCCCCGTGGGACTTGGAGTGGCGAATCGCATATGGCCCTGCTAGGTTAGGCGCGGTATTGAACCGGATGACTACAAAGCTGTCTACCACCAAACTTGGGTGGCTGTGGCGGTGGGGGGGGGGCTCGAACTTCGGATCATAGGGTCTATAGCAGCACATCGGTGACAGCAATCAAACCACTGCTCCACAATCACCCTACTCTTATTCACATTCACACCCAGTTTATGCATTCATTACATGATCTGAGAGGATGGTGGCCGGCAGTGGTTACATTCTCTTCCAACAAACTGAAAAGCAATGGACAATTCTTTCGATCTAGTTGGGTCTCACCAGCAGTCCGAATTCATCAACCACCAACTGGGGATCGGACGCAGGACCTTACGGGTAGAAAGCAAGAATACTGCTCACTTGAGTACTGGGCAGCTTCCAAGATCATTATTTTCTTCACTTTTCCTCTACTTGTTTCCTTTGCCCTGAACACAGCTAGATTCACTGTACATTCGAATCAAATCCTTCGCTGCTATCATGTAAGAAACTGAGTTATTTCCTCGGCACCAGTCAGATCCTTATTGTGACGAACTGTTATGTCACGGACTCATGCGCATGCACGTATTTTTATTTAATCTTTAAACGTTTTTCTCGGGATCATCTGTCCACCCAGTGGATCTGAGGTAAAACAGCTTTTCCACAGCTTGTTATGCGTTGACGGTAAATTTGCACCACCAGTAACAAGACAAAATGAATAGGAAAGTTTGTGACAAAAATGTTGTACTTGAGCACATTTGTAGTGACCTGGCCTACGGGATAATTCCAGCCACGGAGTGACGCGTTGCATTTTCCGGACAACTGTGCTGAGTCAACCTTCCCATTTGACGCCAGCCAAGCGCCTACGCGTTTCAGTTTCTGGACAATGAACCACAGGCCAATCGTACCGACCAATCAGAAGTCGTGTGGTTCAGACAGAAGTTGAATGACATCAAGAATACGAGCGCGCGATTGGTAAATCCCTGTGTAACCAATAAATTTTCTTTGTATAAGGTTTTTTTCAACAAACGAACTGCTACTTCTATGGGCTCTTCCTTACATTTCGGTTACGTGAGATACCAGCGTGCATGTGCTATCGCGATTCAGTGTTTCCGTGGCATCCGTGATTCTTGACTCACGATTAGTAATTCATAATGAGTGACTAATTCAGCTAATACCGCATCCTCACATACTTCAGTCGCTAGTACGACGGAGCATTGTATTTTTTTTAACTCTCCGGAACACAAACTTCAAGACCCCTGGCTTGCTCACATTATTCTCCCATCGACTCCTGTGTTCATCTGAACGATAAAAAAGCTTATTTACCGTTNATCAAATGCGATGACACTGGTACAAATTTTGACTCACCTGCGCATATACATACAAGCTTAATCAGATTATTAAAATAATCATCCCAGTAAGACCGAATTCCAATCGCCACGCTGTGCATAGTATTTTTAGGGGCCCGTAACCGAACGCACAGAAAATCAGAACACACACAAGGCAGCGTACCGATCGCAGCCGGGTTAACGATTTAGTGAATGGGGGGGGGGGGGGGGNAATACATCAATCGATTAAACGATGGCCTAAAACTAGGTCAAAAATGGCTCACGCACAAAACAGCCTGAAAAAGGGTATTGGTCGGTGTCTGTCATGACCAACTGTATCACGTGATTGGACGATCAATGGGAACTGATGGGCGAATGCATATGCAGCATTCGTAAGATGAACACGTTGAGAACATTTACTGTGGCGTGAATCTGATCTCGATTAAACTCGTTAAACATGAGTCGGAATTCTAACTTCAGTCGACTGTGTACATGGTTACTTTATCTTTATATATTTTATTCCTTCTCAGCTTGCAATCTTCCGTTGATTTTCCATCAAACTTCGCATGGTGTCGTTTGTTTCAGAACTCGTTCTTGCATCAAATAATAGATGAGAAAAACCTTTGTCACACAACATTCCTCCCCGATTCCCCTGCCCCCACTTCATCTCATCGAGATTAACTACGTCACGCACACATACAAACACAGGCGCATACAGGGGAGGTGGGGACTGTATTCTCACAGAAAATTCACATTTCACAGATGTGACATCAGACTAAACGCCTAACACATGTCTTATATGCGACACAATCAGCCGGACTCGTGTTGACACGCATCGGATCTAAGCGCAGTCTGTCATGGTATCAGTTAGACATCGCGGATCTATGTGGCTGTCTCATACTTGCCGCAGCAGCAAAACAGAAAAAAAACAACATTCTCAGAACAGGTATGTTTATGTGTGGTACGGTAAAATTCCGTCTTGACAGGTCATACAAGACTTTATGTACCCAGTTGGAGATGGAGTGAGAGAGAGAGAGCGAGAGACAGATTGAGATGATACAGGCAATCGGTCGTTTCATTTCACAATGAAAATGCCAGGATCAATCCGTTCAGTTATTGTCGACTCCTCTCATGTAGACCAATGTGTCTAGAATGCGTTGACAAAAGCTCACACCGGGATCGAACCTGGAATTGACAAAAAGGTAGAAAAATTTACTCTCCAATCCGACGTTAAGCCCCAATCAGTTCACTGGAACTATCCGAATCGGATAATGTGATACTTTTCTTATTGATTAACAATAGAAATACATTTCAATCTTTGTTAATAACCAAGTATTCAGTAGAAAGTACATAAGTATGAATATATCTTACCCAGAAAATGCTTCAATCAGACAGGTTAGCGGCAAAATTGAACTCCATTGGGAGTAAGGGTTTGGGGTGCAGGGGGGGGAGGGGTTGTACGTAGTATGGTATCAAATTCTGTAATGCACAGAGAATTTTTATTACAACAGGACAATATCAGCCAAGACAATCGATAGAATTTTGTTCGTAGCTTGTGGAATACCGGTGAAAGCTATGAGGCCGTCATATCTCGAGATACAACTCTCCATAGATAGAGATATCTCATTCTGTTCCGGATATATGGCCAAAATGGTGATTTGGATTATTCAGTACTTGAAGATGCTTGTTCTGTGGTTGTGTCACAGAGATGGAATATGATAACCTAAAGGTCCGGAACAAACTGGATGTGAATCTGGTCAACACTGATGCGTATATCGACCAAGCATGATCGATTGTTGTCCCACGTGCAACCGCTTGAGATGTAGTTTATGAACTACATCGCAGCATCATCCTACGGATGTAAACAATGGCTCAAGTTTTGATCGCGCATGATTCATGGGTATCAGCGGAGGGGGACGAACACACAAACACACACACAGATGCGTACACGTAGCTGCACGATAAGCAATATGTGAACAATGTGTATGACATAGGAATTGAGGCGTGTGTGCCCGAGGTATGTTTCACAATCGTCCCTCCGCACTCCAGTGAGAGGTAGAGAAATCTGTACTACATGGTGATCATCCAAACATCGCTGGGGGGCTTGTCAGGACCGATGAGATCAGCGAAACAGCTTGAAATGATGGTCAGACAATTTGAAATGATATTGAGACAACTTGAATTGCAAAATATATAGATGAAATGGCTTGGAGATACTCAATAAAGCTAGTAGTATATATCGATTAAAATCAAAAATGACCGTTTGATTTCTAATTTTATCCATCGTGCGGTAAACATTCAACATACAAATAAGTTGAGACGATCCATGTACACCGCTGTTTACGACACTGAGCCATATCACTCACTATCTATAACCATTGATCACAATGATCC